CGGCCACTTTCCCCTGTCCCCAAGGTGACCGTTCTGGAGAGGTTCTACTGTACTCTCAAATAGCTAAAGTAACTAAGCTGCCTTGCAGCACTTTCCATCACTTTGATGGATCAATATTACAACTGTTTATCAGTTGACGATGCTACATTAATGGCATCGAACGAATGCCCAGTCATTGGTGAACAATTTGTGGTCAGGTATTGTATCTGATGTAATAGCCAACTTAGATGTTTGAAAATTGTAATTGCCTCGGAATTCCGTCTGCCGACTTGCGTCAATACTTTACAAAGAGTTGTATATCTAAACACCATAATCACAATTTCATAATAAAAATTGTGTTTATTGACGTATTGTACAGTAGTGCGCTTTAACTATATTTTCGAATGGAAGAGAGAATTTTATAGGGGAATGTTTGAAGATCTTTGAACATCGCGGGGGGGGGGGGGGGGGGCGTTAACTACGTGAACCGTTATGCCCCGTCCACACTGCGCCGAAGAAGTTTGAAAAAGCAGCTTTATTTCTTCGGTTAGGCTTACCGTCCACACTAATCCGTCACGAAAACGGAGCTTTTCGAAAACGCTCTTCGAACCTGAGGAATTTAAAAACGAAGGCTTTGCGCTTTAGTGTGGACGGAAAACAATTTGAAAACAGAGTTTTTTCGAAAACGATGACGTCACGATAATGTGATTTTCCTCAAACACAAATCCAAAATGACCGGTGATTGTTGTGTTTTCAAGTTTCTCCGGCGTAGTGTGGACGGAAAACATTTGATGGGTTTTCAGGGTAAAAGATGGCCATTCTTGTAAAAATTATTTTCACCCATCTTTACTCCTCTTCTTCATAGACTATCCTCATGACCCGTACTCGGATAAGAACCCGTACAACTCCATATGCTCAAGAGGAGATCTTCTTATTCCGTCAGACAGGAGTCCAGATGGTTGTTACGACACCAAAGTAAGGTTCATGTTTTTGAAACTTATGTAAACCGCCATATTCGCAAAGCCAATCAGCGGTAAGGTATCAATAACAAACGTAACAAATGAATCAGAACATGGGATAATATATGAAACCGGTGCATATGGCTAGCTAAACATGTGTTATTAGCAAGCGTGGGAAAAATCCAACCAGTGGCAAGCGCGCGAAAAGCTGTAACCTGTCACAACTGCGGGAAAATATGTTGCAAGTGGTAAGCGCGGGAAAAGTCACATGACCCATAATGAGATTGTTCTGTGTGTTTCACGTCATTGGTTCTGAAGAACAATCTTTACCGTGATTGGATAGAGATCAGAATTTACCAGTCGTAAAACAAAGAAATGGTATATTTTCTAAAAAAAGTTTTCATGGACTTTTTTGGAAGTTTGGGGGAACGGGAGGCTTATTAACGATTATACGAGTTCAAGGTAACGAGGGTTTATTTTCAGGTGGGATGAAACATCGGCAACCTGGGTCTTTTGTAGTAAAACCTTGTACATTCAATTAGTTTACTGTTGAACTACTAACGCAAGAAAAAATAGTATCTCTTACACCCGTCGCTTCAAACCCCCCCCCTCGGCCCCAATCCTTCCCCCGCTATCTACCCCCAAGTTGAGGCCTAGGCCTCGATGTTTGTGAGAAGCAGTGTTGTAAACAGTTCTTAAAACCTTGATTGTTTCAAGCACCAGTACACGATTTTTCATACCGTTTTCAGACCTGATACACTAACCAGTTTATCCTGTTTTAAGGTGACAGATTACTCAAGGGCAAAATCATTAATGTCCGAAGCTATCAGCGGTCCCACTTACCAGGTACCACTGACATTTTGCTAAATAATTCATCTTAAGGTCTCCTGATGCTATCACAGTGAGTAGCAATAAAACTGTTTCACGCAAGGTAACCTGCGTACCTGGTACAAAAGTGAGGTACGAGGAGTTCACATTTCCTCCTGTTCCTACCAAATGCAATTTGCGCTTTATATTTACTTTTGCGCTTTGGTGCTGCCTTGTCCGGAATTGAATTTTATTTTTATGATGTATAGTAAAATGCTAGTGTCGAAAAATAGATAAATTACTAAATGGAAAGTGTCGTTGCTGTTGTACAATGTCTATGAACTCGTCGGTTTGTACAAGAAGTCTCACGCATTGCCTATGCTCACTTGTGATTTCACAAACTCTTGCCTGTGAATGCACACATGAATTAATCTCTGTCCATGACATTGGATATCCTTGAGTTCTTATTGAGTGATATGTCTCTAAGTACATACCGGCATCTCTTTGTAGGGTTTACCCGTGTTTTGCTGGAGTAATTTCTCGTTTCCAAACAAGCATGTTGGTTTGGTGAGTGCATTTGAATCTTGAAGTACTTTGTCGTGCAATATGTCACGAGTCATGCAATGTGTCACGCAAATTGTCACACAATTTTAAGTCACTTTTCCAACGAACAAGTTTACCCCATGCAACTTTCTAAAATAGAAAATATCAGAAACTGGTGACTTGACTATAAGTTACTACCAGTGTTACCCATTGGCTGGTTATCTGCATACTCACAATTTGACTGGCTACGCTAATGGCCCTTAACTAATCAGGAAATTATCGAAGTTTGTTATGTTAAGGCCTCGAGCTTGTAGTCTTCTTATTAAATAGAAGCCAGAGGATTGAAACTGTCCAGAAAATTGATACCCTTTTGAACCTCGTTTATTAGAAAACATGACTTTTCACTACTGAAAATGTTTTGTTTTTGTTTTTGTTTTCGTTTTGGTACTAAAACGTTACTTTGTCGTTTCTTTTCTTTCAGCCTGACTGTTACAACTTTGATTTTGTGACTATGAAGCCAGAGTTTTAACAGACGGCAGTATACTGAAGGCTTTCGGTGATGGGGAATGCATCTCTTGGCAAAATTTTACCTTTTATCCAAACATGAGTCGCGTCTTTTCTTTTTAGTTTAAATTTGCAGTTGAAAATAATCCAGGCCCCAGAGATCTGTGTTTTAAGAAATACGTAACGAAAACCATGCCGAAGAATATTTTGTTTAAGTCAATTTAAAAAGTTGTTTGTGGTTATTGTAATCTTTTTAAAAGCGAACAATAACTAAGTTAATAATCTTTAAATCCATGTTTAAGTTAAGAAAAAACAATAGTGGTTTTCGGAGGGGTTTTCGTTCTAGATTAATAACTTTTTAACATGTCATTTTGAATGTGAAATAGAATTTGAATCTTACAAGGTGATATCCATTTTAACTGATTAGTTATTAGATTTTAAATGAAAAATGATAAGTTAATAAGTTTGTTAGTATTGTCAAATCTATTGAGATTGTCGTAAATAGATTGTCTACATAACATGTCATTTATGTTCAATTTTGAAAAATAAAACGTTTTGTACATGCTTTTATTTTGTGTTGATGAGAAAGACAGGTGACTTCCCTTTAGTAAGCTTTTCCATCATTAGTTAAGGTGGCTTACTACAGTTTTTCGGAGACTAGTAGCGCGCGCTATGATTGCTTTCCAGACGTCAGTACTAATCGCACGTGCACAAATGACGCAGGCAACCCTAAGAAGAAACGAAAACCACTTCAGCACTTGAAGGGCGCTAAATCACTTCGGTATACGTAGCAATGGTTTCAAACTCGGTTCAAACATGTGTTTAAGCCTAGGGCCAAAAAAATATGATATAAAAAATCGAAAAACAACCGGTAAAAGAGTTCTAAATTACTCTTGCTTTCTCGCACG